TTAAGTTTTATTGCTCATATTTCCTATTTTTTCGTCTATTTCTCAACCTCCCTTATTTCATATTTATCAGCTTTAATAGTACCCTCTATGCTCACTTGTTGTGTCTGAAAATCGTAGTTTGTGGAGCTATTGCCATAGTGAATCTTCATAGGCAAAATGAATGGGTTTGAAATTGTTTAGGATATGCATTTCCATGGTTGTCCAAAATGGTGTTTTCCAGGGAGATTTAGCTGAAGAAGGAGGACTCACAACAAATGTGGGTGCACTATCTCTTTGGCTAAGAATCCAGACTGAACAAAGGGAAAAGAGCCAATGAGTGCAAGCACTCATTTTTAATGCTTCCTGATCTAACTGGGTGAGAGAAACATTGCACAGCCCCTGTGTGCAGCTCCTGCCTCCATGCCTTCCCTAACGGTGAGCCAAAATGAACTCTTCATCCCTTAGGTTACTTCTTGTCAGGTATTTGGCCATAGCAATGGGAAAAGTCAATAATATGGCTCTAAACAGTAGCTTTCTAAAATGGTGCCCATATTTTATTTATGGATACAAAACTCTTTATTGGATATTCACTGTGTGTCAGGAATTGTGCTATTCATTGCATGCAAAGTATACAAGAGAATGTACAAAAAACATTTTTCTTATTGAATGTGTATTTAATAAGGGAGATAGGTATTTACAAAAAGAAAACAGATTAATATAAAGATGAAATATAATACAGTTTTCCATAAAATAAACCAAAATTTTGAGACAGAGTTTAACTTAAGAAACAAAGAGAAGCACACTATAGAAAATATTCCTCAGAAGCACTTTGGAAAGGATATTTAAGTTGAAGCCTGCAGGAAGCAATACTAGATTTCCCAATGAGCATCATAAGAATTCTGTAGTGGGATTTATTGTTGCACAAGTACAGAACTGAATAATCAGTTCCTCTAAGAATGCTGTTATTACTCGCTGTTATTACTCCTCCTGAAGGCTGAAGACAAGTTAATAGCAAGATAGAAAGTAAAGACATGTGCCGGGCGGTGGTGGCGCACGCCTTTAATCCCAGCACTCGGGAGGCAGAGCCAGGTGGATCTCTGTGAGTTCGAGGCCAGCCTGGGCTACCAAGTGAGTTCCAGGACAGGCGCAAAGCTACACAGAGAAACCCTGTCTCGAAAAACAAAAAACAAAAACAAAAAAAAAAAAAAAAAAAGAAAGTAAAGACATGTGATGTGGAGAGGACAAACACTAGCTGGAATAGGTAGGGATGGACTGAGATGTTCATCAGTTCTTGCTATCCAAAAGTACTGACATCAGAGATTCACATGATCAAAGAAAAACTGAAACTCTGGTCATTGAACTAAATATACATTTGGCTCAGGAGGCATAGAAGCCAGAGGAAGATCCAGTAGTTCTCAGAGAAGCTACTGGCTCAATCAATACATCTCACTAACAAAATGATCTAGGAAAAACAACTTGTGAACAGCAGACCATGGACATAGTACCATATCAACTTACATAATTTTATTATCTTGATTGAAGTACTATGACCCTTTCACCATCTTACACTCATGCTATCTACTGTCTATGGAAAGTAAAGCAAGACTGAAGACAGTAGTTTCCCTTTCCCTTAATGGTATTTTTCAGTTTGATATGTAATGCACTCTGGCATTGGGTTATTCCTTTCTACTTTTCACACGTTTAAGTTGTAGTCAAGAGCTGGTTAAATTATATATAAGAAAACAATAAGATTTGGAGTAAGAAATGAAATGACTAGCCTTCAATTTTCAATTTCAAGTTTTGGCAGGAACTATTTGGTTCTATCATTCTCTACTCTCCATCTATTATTGCCTCCACCAATTAGGTATTATCCAGCTAAAACCCGGCTTGATGAACCTTATTTCTTTCTTAGTTCGCATTCAATTATGATGTAGATATAAAGTACATAGATGAGGAAAATACATCCATTACCCCATAAAACAATCCACATCATGAAATAAATAGCTCTCAGTCAAATTGGTGCCCGAATTATTCCTCTGTACACCTTGGCTGATTCTCTCCACTTCTTGGCACTTCAGATACATCATGTGAAAATGATGGTGGCCAGCAGACATATTGTGAGCCCTACAAATAACATGAATAGCTGAACGCTACACAGGGTTTGAACATGTCCCCAGCTAACACCGTTTGAAAATGTAATCCTCAGCAACAGTGTTTGTATACAGTAACTGGCAGACCGTGTTATGTCAGGAGCACTCTATCTTCTTCAGTGGATCACTGTTTATCATAAAAGTACTGGAGACCGGAAGTTCACCCCTTTTTTCCCTGTCATGTGTCTACTTTCATCACGTCCTGCTTTCTGTGGAAAGAAGACCCTCAGGAGGTAAAATGCTTGAATTGGACTTTTCAACCTATAGAATGAAAGACGAACAAACCTTTGTTTTGTATAAATGACATAGGCTGTGATAGTCCTTTATAACAGCGTGAGACAGAGTAGGACACTGTATAAAACATGTGACACTATTTAAATTTGCACCAATTTCCATACATACACTCAACTATACATGAGCTGTCTATGCATGTAGTTTTACATTTAGTATGGATTTTAATATTTGTGAGTATGGATGTATGCTTTCCATGTAATGTTCTTAGAACAGGTACATAATTAATAATTTCTAAATTACTAGAAAGTGTCATGGTGCATGACTCCTAGAACAATAGAATATGTCTGAACAACATAAATATATTAGCTAGCTTAAGGGAAGGAAAGTAAAACTGAAAGTACTACATGTATTTATTCATCATATTGGTGAGACATTCTGAGGCCTCATACAGAATGAAGAGAAGTTAGAGTGTCACAATTTCCATGTAGCAGGATAGCATTTCAATTATTATACTGTTTGGAAAAGGTTATGGACTCAAGCAGGTAATTTTTATTCAGCATTATTACAGAGTATTCAATTGATTCCATTCATTTCAGTACATGGAGTCAGAATCATAGACGATGGATCTCTTGTAAAAGAGAACATTTGCAGCTTTAGAAAATAATTTGTGGGGCTACATGTGTGTCATGAACAGAATAAAAAACAGCAAGAGGTAGTAGCACAAACCTGTTATTTACCCGTGGTTCCCCTCTCTTTCCTCTGGTGTCTATAACTTGAAAACATGTTGCTGATTAGTACTGACTTCTCTCTTTCCATGTAAGAAGTTCTGCTATTACACAAAAGGTCATCTTGACCTTCATCACTCCCCTTTGCTTTTTCCTGCTGCTTAAAATGTCACACATGCTGCACACACACATGCACAACACATGCACAATTGCCAGCCAGGAACAAAGATGAAGATAACTACAAATTATATTTATTTTTGTTTCGTCTCATAAGATATTGTGATATCAACAAAGAGTCATTTCTGAAGCCTCTAGTTGTTCCAATTGAACCATAAACTCATGAAGTGCACTTAGATACCAAGCATATTTAATTATTTATTTAATCAAATTTCCACATTTTCCTGAAGATTGGACAGAAGCCCAGATAGGTAAAACAGATACAATAGAATCCCAGGATCCTTAAATTTAATAAACCAACTATTAAGATTACTGTCTCAGTATAATTGTCTCAACTCCTAACGATTTGGTTCTGGTTCAATGTCATCAGGAGACTGTGCAAAGATTAAGAGATGCCACACAAGAGGAGGTCTTCAAATCACTGGAGACATCCCCAGAAAGGGACATTAGGAACTCAAGCTTATCTTGTCTTTCTTCTTTGGTCCCCAGACATGGAGTAAATGCTTTTGTTCCAAATCACATTTCCCCTATCATATTCTACCACAAAGTAAAAATAACAAACTCAAATGAAAATGAACTGAAAATTTAAAACTATTAACCCAAATAAAACCCAAATAAAGCCAAATTATTCCTCTTTATAGATTTATTAAATCCATTATTACAGTGGCATATGACACAATGGTCAAAATAAAATGAATATGACTGACAGTTTAAGAAACCATTAACTATACCAGGAAGTAGAAACGTACACAAAGGAATGAGACAGAATGGAAAAGATTAGAGAAAAATGCAGCCTGAAGTCAGGAAAGGTAGACATTGGTTTCATAAAGGCAGCCATCAACACATATTATTAGATTTTTTTTTTTAAAAAATTAAGTTTTGTCTCTAGTTAGACAGAAATATAATCAGTACTTTCATTGCTGAAATTATAAAATACTTTGTAAATAGTCTATGTTATGTACAGTTGAATTCTAAGTATTTGAATTAGGTAGGAAATAGAGGCTCTTCATGAACAAAATAGTGCCATCTAAAATCTCTGAATACTTTTTTAACGTTAAGCACAACAGGTAGCATATGTAACTACAGAGAAAGCTCAAGTTGTGTGGGAAATGTCTTACTAAACATACACGGTATAAAACACCATCAATTGGATCACTAGAACAAAGTTTTAGAGCATAGATGTTAGGATTCCCTTGTATGAAATAAATAGTAGGATTGTTCAAATAGGATTTAAAACTACCAATATACTGTGATTCATCCACTGAAGTTCTGAAACATCCCCTCCAAGATGCCACTATTCCTGGCAAAAAGCAACAGACATGCACAGTTTGCCTCAGATTCACAATGGTAAGTTCAAACAAAGACAAGGAGTTCAAAGAAGCGGGTGTTCCTCTGCCTTTCCTCGGGCTTATATAAACTTCATACTATGAAATTTGTTCTTTGAAGAGCTCCAATTCCGGATGTCCCAAAGTTAGAATGTTGCTTCAACCAATGCATACTTTAGGTCTCAGAAACATCTCTGAGATTCTTTTCTTTCCCATCAGCAAAGTTTCCAGATACATTACCCATCATTTTCAGTTTCTCCTAATAGCCTCTTACATTCTACTCCTTCTTGCTCTCATATTCATTATGTTACTCAGTTCTTAGGTCCACAAGCCTGCACTGACAGCCTTAGTTTTCTTGTAATTCTAAAGAAACTGAGAAATACAATTTGTAAAAGGAAAGCAATACTTACAGTTTGGTCAGAGATGCCAGAAAGATCTTTTTAGGTCTGTTCCTCCCTCCCAGATGTAACATTGCAATGTCAGAGACATGGAGGAAAAAACACCAGAAATAGACACACTGAATTACATTCTGACATCATGGGATATCTGAGGGAACTTTTAAGTATATAGGACCCATATAAGAGTCCAAGACGCAACTGCTTCAATCACATTTTATTTTCATTAGTATTTTTGTGTCAGTCATCTCCAAAGCATTATTTTATTGTTTCAACCTTAGTGCCTAGTAGCGTGCATGGCAAATTCTTGTAAGAGTAACAAATTCAATGCATATGTAAAAAAACAAATAATTAATAAATAACGAGATAGTCTCATCTGGCTACTTAGTCTGATGCTCTGAAGTGGTGAGGTCATGTCTTACATTTTGTAATAACACAAGCTCTTCTAACTTCATATCATCTAACAGGTGCTAAATATTACCTTATGCTATAATTTAATTTGAGTCTATTTTATTGTTCTATAGCATCATTCTATGCTATATTATGCTTTAAAAATGCACCTATATAAATTAGAGTAAATTTTAGGACTTATCACACATATTTTATTGTTTACAATCTTCTGAAGTTGTGAGACCTTTCATCAACCAGGTTTCTATGTAGAGAGCTTGCAGAATACACATGTTTAGAGAAAATAATAAAAAAAAAACAATGTAATCTCTGCTCTAATGTGTATGTAATAGAAGTGTAAAATCTAACTAAAACCCAGAGGGAAGTTAGTGGTGTGTCTTTCAAATTAATATCATGCTGTCGTCACAGCTCACTTGTTCAGTAAACATTTGCCAGATACCCATTCACTGAAACGATCTTCAACACCCTTTAAATGGAGGAAGATTAGATTTTTCACTTTTCTTTTTCTTCTGGAAAACAGCTACAGTAAAAACTAACACCTATTTAGTAGTAATATTTTGTCAATCTTCTTGCTAAAGGTCGAATACAAATACACATTACCACTTATGCTTCCACAGAAGCTGAATGAAGTAAAGTATCTGAACTCTGAAGAACTGAGGCTCATAGAAATTACATGACCAAAGTCTCATATGCAGGGAAGGCCTGAGAACCAGACCCACAGGTAAGCAGTCTCTGTTGCCACAACCATGTACCATTTCCTCATTTTATTAGAGCTTGTCCTTCATTCACTACAACTTTATCTACAGTCTTAGGTGTCTTAAAACTGGATAACTAAGCCTTTTAAAATAAAGTTTATATGACACATTTTATTGTGCAAAATGTGTAAAATTTTAGTTTTAAAATTATAAGTGAGAAATAGTTACAAGCTTAGGTTTTGAGTAAGTTCTCCTTTCTCTCATTCAAACTTAAATAATAATCCTTTTTTTTTTAGGAATTTGAGTAGACATTGAGCCCATGAACAACACTAGGTATAGAGAAAAAAATACCATATGCCTTATATATGCTTTATTGTATACTAATTTTATGAGTTAAATTATGTACTTTGAGGCTTATGTTTAACCTATGCATGGAATAGAATATATATATATATATATATATATATATATATATATATATATATATATAAATTAGGGCCTCATTATTATTGAAGCTAACTAATGATAGTGGTGTGTGACAACACAAATGCTAGAAAAAATTCTGGTAGGCAAACTCTGGTAGTCTTGGTGAAGACATCATTCATTCAATTAGCGTTGAGGTTCAGTCAGCCATGGTAAGCCGGTATCGTAACACTTAGTGGAAAGTGAATACTGGCTTTTCTTGGTTCTTAATACTTCTGTCTTTAAGATTCTTGCTATCACCTACCTTGAGTTTTTTCCTAGATCATACTACTATGCAGAATACATACTTTCTCTCTGGACCGGGAATCATCTAGATTCCTTCTCCTGACCCAAAGATGTTTTCCTTCTCAACTAAATAATACATTTCTTATAGTGGTAAAAGCAATCTTAACAACATTTTTTTTTTTCTGTTAACAAGTGTGCTTATGACAGGTCTTCTCAAGAAGAATGTTTTATTGCTAGTTCCTCTCAATTGAAACACTTCCTTACAATAAAATTCCTGAATGCTCAGGAAGTCAGACTGGAGAGATGGCTCAGTGGCTTAGAGAACTTGTTATTCTTATGGAAGACCTTGGTTCAGTTTTCAGCTCCCAACCATTCTTTATTAGTTTCAAGGGATCTGAATTCCTCTTCTGACCTCTGCAGGTATCAGACACACATATGGTGTACATACATGCATTCAGGGAAAACATTCATACACATGTAGTATAAATAAATTTAAAACAAAAGGACTCATGAAATAAATAAAACTTATAGATCTCAAGAAACCCCTAAAACTTGCAGATTCATAAATATCTTCCCCAAGGCTACACAGGCAGTCATAAATTCTAGGAAAAGGAGAATTCCATCTAGCTCAGTTGCCTCCAGGTAAGCTCACAAAATATAGCTTCCATGTCTCATCACCCATGCTGGAGTAGGCTTTTAGGTGATGCAGTTGCCTATAACTAACTCACTTATTCTACCATAAGCATTTCTCACCTACCCTACTGCCAATAAACCCATATGAAGTCATTGATTCACTGAGGTACACTTGGATGCAATTTTCTTTATGAGTCTTCTATCTTGGACGAAGAAACGTTGGTCCATATCTCCTCAGGAAAATGTTATATAACACGTAGTACTAGCCTTTTGCAATCAGATATGTATGTCCCTGTGAGAAATGCAAAGTCCATAAATAACCTTTCTATAAAAGGAGAGTTTCTAAGAATTAAGGTATCTTGCTAGCAGTTGTTTTAGAAAATGAGTCCAGCCTACTGTGCAGAAAATTCTGAGGATAATTATGATGCTAGATAATTCTCTTCTCTGTTTGTTTCTCTTTCTATGACCTAAAAATAATTTTAATGAAAATTAGGGATTTAAGCATTAAACTTCAGTCTCTTCTATAGGACCTGCATTATTTTCGTACTTCTAAACTTAAAATTAGGGCTCTTCACCCAGATTGCCATTGACATTAGGTTCTTGACAGATGTTGCATGTTCTGCAAAACCATTCATTGACATGCAGCAATTTTTCCTTCACCTTATTCACTAATGAATCATTACTAATCCATTATGGTTCACCTATTCTACATATTTATGGCATAAGCTTGAATTTCTTCTTCAAAAAAAGAAGTCCGTGCTTAAAATTTAAACCAGAGAAGCCATTGATAAGTAAATGTGACATGTATGTGGATAAGCTTTCATTAGTGGAACATTTTTCTGCAACATAAAACTTGTTTCATTATAGAAAATTCGAAATGATGACATAAAGAAATCATGCTTTCAGTCATTAACATATTACTATTTCAAGTGTGAATATATGAGAGCAAATTGAACTAATGACAATATGACTCTAAGAATTATTCCAGCATTAATGGCAAAATCTGCTTCATAGTCAATAGTTGTTGGAATAAACTGTTCCTTTATTTGCACATTCATAGCTAGTTCTCTGGAATAATCTGATAATTAGCAGATTAACAGGAGAAAATGTTTGCAAAATTTTCAATATTGATTTAAATATCTTCTGTATGAGACATATGAGGAAAATATTTGAATACTCAAAACCGCAGTTATGGTTGGAAACATGTATTTCCTCTATAGGTGAAAAGGGAGATAATGTAGGTCCCTTAAAATGGAAATTTTAAGAAATTCAGGAATCTTAGGAAAGAAGACTGTCTCTTTTTCAGAGCAGATAAGCAGCTAGGTAAGAAACATTATGTTCCTTGGCAAAATTTGAGAGTGGGGTTAATTTCCAGGATAGTTTATTCTGGTAGGAATCAGAAATACTGATTGTTGCAATATCCTACGAAGGAATTTAAGACAACTGGATTCCCTTGGACAAATAAGGGGTGCAGCTGATTGTTTTACCTGTGATTGCTTATTTTATAGCCCGTAGCTCAATATAATCATCACGCCAAAGTGTCTTTTGTTTTTGGAGTTTTGCATGCTCTGAACTTGTTTATGGCTCTGACATAGTCTAGTCTCCCCAAATAAACCAGATACCTGAATCTAGAAACTAAGTTGCTGAGTCTGTGAAAATGTGACTGTCATGAACGTCAGTATACTTATCACAGTAGATAAGTTCATTATACTGTAACAAATAATTTGTAGAAACAACCTACCCACAAGCCATCTTCTTTGCAACTTAAAGAGATTTCCATTTGTAATTATTATTGTTCTCTAAATAAACAGTGGTTGTTCACTATAACTTTCTTTTTTTTTGGTTTTTTTGAGACAGGGTTTCTCTTTGTAGTTTTGGTGCCTGTCCTGGATCTCACTCTGTAGACCAGGCTGGCCTCGAACTCACAGAGATCCCCCTGGCTCTGCCTCCCGAGTGCTGGGATTAAAGGCATGAACCACCACTGCTTGGCTTCACTATAACTTTTCTATGATATTTATATACTACCAGAAAAAAAAGATTTAGTCATTGACATCATTTCCTCAAACAAGCAATAAGTTACATTTTCTCATTTAATGTATAATTTCTGCTCCTTTATCATTTGTGAGACCAGGAACAATGAAAGAACAGGTATTTCTTGCTGTTCATATATTGTGTGTGCTTTATGTTATTTGAGAAGAAGAAATGAATTATCAGGAAGAACTTGAGGAAAAGAAAATGATTAGAAGGAAATATAGAAGGAAATAAGCAAATAAAGTAAGTGGAGTATGTTAAATTTTAATCAGGTATTAGAAATAAGCATAATGTTGATAATAGGGGCTTTAGAAGAGTTATTAGGAATGACTATTATCAATATAAAAAATAATAAGTAAAAGCACATTAATAATAAGTAGATTTCAGAATAGGGAAGTCTGCAGAAATAGGATGTGTAAACAGGAGCAATTTAAGATGGTTTAATGTCTGCAGCATCATCTTTCAGATGGACGTAGGGCAGATAGATACTGATGGAATAAAATAAAACTAGCATGCTCTGAGAGTCTAGATAGGTTGAATGCATGGTGCCTGCAAATCCAAAGCACTTGAATGTTATTTTCCAAGACTTCCTGTGACTTTAAATAGAAATTAATATTTCAACAAATCATGTGAGAGGAAGCAGCAGTATTCTCACAAATGCTACTTTTAAGGCAAATGCCATAAAAACAATGCATAGCCCCAATGTTTGGCCAATATTTCTAAACATCAAATACTTTGAAGAGAAAGGGATACTTCATCTTCAAAAAGAAACATCTAGGGATGTATCAAAATT